AGAGCATGGTGAGAATTGAAGGATATGTAACGTAGAAGGGTCTGTACCCCTCCGACATTCATGTACAATACGCTTTGATCTAGTATTCCAAATCCTTGGAAAAAAAAATACAAATTGAAACAGCATGGTATACTTACCTGAGAACTGTACCCATTGATGAACCCGTAGCAACGATTGTACCCTCATAACTAACACAAATAGCCCCAATCTCTGATTGGTGAGCTTCTATACAACTGGGGGCTAATGAACTAGTCGGAGACAGGTTTTTGAGATTCAGAATTTGAATGCTTCCTAGCTACAAATCGACTCAATTTAAGCGGGAACATACAATATCCCACCTTGAATCCGGGATAAACCAATATCTGGTTCTCATCTTTGGCTTTTTCTCCACTCACCGCTGCTAATCCATTGATATTCAACCTGAACGTGATTATCATTGAAATGAAGTTATAGATAGCTCATACCTAGTCTCTTCAACTCGGAGGGACGTACATGGGTCTGGGATTTCAAAGATTTGAACTCGTTTATCCAAAACTACTATGAGTCGAGAAGGAGTCATGAGAACATTGAGAATTGGTCCGCCTTGTAAGGTAATCTAAACATAAAACAAAATATGAATGGACATCTAAAGAAACGAACTTCATAAACTAGCTCATTCTGTATCATATCATAAATAAAACATATATTCTGCGGAAACTTCGAGTTGACACCTGATCCTACTANATATCATAAATAAAACATATATTCTGCGGAAACTTCGAGTTGACACCTGATCCTACTAAAGCTACTAGGTTAGATCTAGCGACAATACTGCTTATCTGTAATTGCTTATTGATTAGGAAGTTGAAATTTTTGGACAAGTTACCTTTACACTACCCACAACTCGGGAATCAATGGAGTGAAGTAACACAGGTGGGTCACCATTGAACACTCGAACTCCTTGATCAGAAGCAATAACGACGGCGTCTTGTGAACTGTTGAAAGATGCATTGAAAATCTTTCCTGTCATGCTGAAAACGTTGATTTGGGAAATAAGAGGGAAAAACATGTGTAAAGTAGAGCTGACATTCACACATTANAAAGGAACCATCTTGAACACTAACATATTCAAAAATATCATTTCGAGTTTTGTCTCTACAGAAGTGATATCCAGGAAGAACACGAAAGAAGTTAAATCATTTTGGTTCTTCAACACAACCATGAAGGGAGAGGAGAAAAGAATTTGCATGCAAACACAATAGTTTCAAGTTCAATTGACATAATCANACATTACGATAAGAGTACATTCATGTACACCGCGTGACCTGGTGAAAGCTTAGGATTCGCGAAGGGTTACCAACATGAACAGTAAAGAAAGACAGTTAGCAAGTTCACGAAGAGGTTTGCCAATCATCAACAAGAGACATACAGTATCTGTATAGGAAACCCTTTTTAAAAAGGAACCATCTTGAACACTAACATATTCAAAAATATCATTTCGAGTTTTGTCTCTA